TCTCGCTGGTGCTGCAGACGCCCCGCTGTCCTCGGGGCGCAGGGGGCTGTCTCGGACGCCTCCGCGTTTACCGCCGAGCGGGGAGAGCTGCGCGGGAGGCAGGCAGTGGCCAGCGGCGTCGGTTGGGCTGTGGGAGGCTGGAGGGATGGTGACCACCACGAGGCGTGGGAAGAAGGGGCCGAGCAGGTACCCTGCCAACAGAAAACGCCATTTCACAGGTGCACAGGATGTTTCAGCCGTGTTATTTCAGTCCCTGCAGCTCCAGCCTGACGGCTCCAGGGGACTCCGGCGTCAGCCGTTCCCACTGCTCTCCCTAGCGCAGTCAGAGGTTTTTCCGCAGGGAAGGAGAAGGGCGCACAAAGAGCATTGGGAACTTCCCATCAGCACCTCACCCTGGAGCGAGGCCCTCGGGCTTTCTCCATTCACCATCTTTATCCTGTCCAACTCTTGACAGATTGTCCAAAAAATCCAGAAAATGAAGGCAATTGGGGACACGGTAACTGAGCCTTTACTTCATCGCCTCACAAATCTTATGCCAAACAACCTGGCACCCTCAAGATCTGTCCTAAAATGTTTGCTGTCCAAAAAACAGCTGTGGGTTTGTACCCTTTTCAGTTTCATTTTGAGGTATCAAAAAAGTTTTGAAGATTTTTCTTGTTCAAAAATACCCATTTTTTTGTTTTAAATGTTTCAACAAATATTAACCTACCCAGAAAGAGTCTATGAGTTCCTTCACTCACCAAAGTTATGTCATTACTAAAATTGAGAGGAGCAGCAGAGGGACCAAGTATACAAGGGCAAATGCAGATAGCACGTGAAAACATTTTCACATTTTTTTTGGTTTGTTAGCAGTGGTTATTGCGGCTAATAAGTGTTATTCATGACAGGTTATTTTTGCAAAACAAACCTCCATGAGTTCACATTAGAGTGCAAGAACATACAATGTGCAAATGAATAAGGTCTTCATAAACCCCAGGAATTTTGACATTCCTGAAATACCTGAAGTAATTAAAATAAAATGGGGTCTTCATTATTTATTTTATGAAGGAAAACCAGAGCCTATACAGAACGGTCTTAAAGCCCAACTCTTTCCTGAAGCCTTCTGTTAGCAACTTTGCCCTGAAGACCTCACTTGTTCTTTGCTTTCATATGCATTTGAACTATTAGCCTTTGTGTTGTATATGAGTCAAGATACAAGCTCCCTGGAGCAGCAGCCTTGTCTTTCATGTGTTTGCAAAGTGGTAGGCATACTCACAGTGCATTATAAGTAATAATGATTGAGAGGATATGCTGGTATTCCCAAGCACAATACAATCACACACCTGATCCCATACACTGGGTAAAATGGGCTGATATTCACATACTTCTGTCAAGAAAATAGGGTGTTCCTAGATTTCACAGTTTTCAAATATACGTAATACACACGTACAACCTTCAGCAGTTTCTTCTCAACATCACTACGTAAACTTCTGTGATTTTGATAACATTTTGTATTAAGCTGATATAGTCAATCATTAATCATTTATTTAATCATGACAATATTTGGAGGTATGTTAGAGTAATTACCTGGCTACTGCATATGTGAAGCAGTGCTTTCTTAGTTAGAATGAGTTAGAAGCCATAGAGTGAATAAATCGAGGCTCAGAGTTCAAGTGGCATGGATGTGGGGAGCTGGAGTCCTATCCCCATTAGTACGCTGAATTTCTGACTGGTAACTACATTTCAGCTGTGGGCCTTGAGGACATCCCCAGTGAGTACAATTTTCCTAAGCCCTTTAAACAGCCCTGTAGTTTTTAATTATGACTTTGTGCCTGCTGAAGAGCAGCAAAATTATGGCTGTGACTAGATAGCAAATAGGGCATGACAGATGTTAAAAGGTGTAGTGTTGGATACCTAATGTTACATGATAGCTAGTGAAACCTAGTATTTAACAGTATCTAAAACCATCAGAAACTTCTCAAATTCTGGTCAAGACTAGGCAAATTGCAATTTAACGTATGTCACTCATTAGAGAAAAGAGGCCGTAAATTGATTTAATTAATCTATGGTAAAGTACAATCTGTTTTGAGCAGAGCTTTCAAAAACATCGGTGAGAGCGAGCTAACTTTCTAAAAACACCCTGCTAAATTATACAGTAGAAAAAGACCAGCTTTCTCTGCTCAGAAAGAACTGTCATCACGCTTCCTTACTTTCTTGCTTCTCTTGTTACCTTGCCTCTCTCCAGACAGGTTTCTTCTAAACTTTCTCTTAAAAGTGCAGCAAACTCCCTTTAAACAGACTCGGTTTGTCACAGCCAAAGTAATTTTGCTGTGTACTTTGCCCTAGGTCACCAGATGAAATAAGGAATACTGACCAGAGGCTCCTTAGCCATTGGAATTATTTCTAGGTAGGACTTCCGCCAGCTAACATTAGATGAAAGTACATCCATCAACAGCATAGCTCTACTAGAAGAGTTCTGAAGTCTTGTTTACAAGATGTTAGGCTTGTATACTTCACTATCATCCATCATCGTTCTTCCCTTTTTATTCCCCTTTTACCTTATAGAAATTCAACAGTCATTAAGCTTTAAGCATCCCTTTGTGTTCTTAAGTCCTTTCTGTAAAACACAGAAAAATTCTCATTCATCTTCATATGATGACCTTGTTAGCGAGGTACTTCTGCCATATTGTCGTGACCCAGGATTTTCAAACATGATTAATTATTTTGGGTGCCCAAACACATGCACAGAGCCATCTTTCAAGGACAGTGGAAGAAACATCTGAAAATCATTGACCTCAAGTCAGGCACTAAGTGTCTCCGGCAGTGAACAGCACCACAGCCATGACTGAACATTTTTGGCTGTGATTTGCTTAGCTGAATGGCCCTAGACTGTGATGGTGAGATTAAAACCATTCAAATTTTGTCATCAAACTCAAGTGTGACAGAAATAACTCTATCACAGGACCATCCCACCTGCCTAACAACTCAATGTCTGGACTCTCGCATTAGCTTGCGTATTGCTGGATATCAGTACATGGAAATGGGTGGATTTTTTCAAAGGTAGCTGATGATTAGTGCATTTAGATTGGGGGAAGGTGTGGAAGGAACATGCATAGGGCTATACAGATTTGATGTTGATGGGGAAGAAGAAGTGGGGTTTTCCACTTCAGTATCTCTGCCAGTACTGAGGGCTGGAAGAGGAAGAGGAAAGGGCAGTATGGTGGTTCAGGCACACTCTCAGCACACGCCCGAGGCCGCAAGCTGCACTGGTTTGGTAATGAAAAACAAGGATGTTTCAGCAGAAATGTTGTGGATGCTACAGTGTAGGAGGTAGCTGGAAATTCAGGTGTGAAAGCGGTAAGTAGAGAATTCCCATCCAATTCCCCTCCCTTTGTCAGAGCCAGCCACATGGCTGGAAAAACAGCCTCAGGGATACTGGGTGCCAGATCGGGAGTGAGCGGAGGAGGGTGGGGAGTTTCTATGCATTCTCTTTTTTGCTGTAGGAAGTGGCATTTCATGAGAAGACCTGCTCAGTCTCATGCAAATACCTGAAAGGCACAGGGAGAAAATGCTGGGTACATTGCTGATTTTTTTTCAGTATCAAACTTATGTTATTAATGTTCTGCAGGGCTTTGATTTTAAGAGAAAAAGGTGCTCGATAACTCAACTAAGCATATACTGAGAAAAGGGGAGAAACCGAGTTTAGACTTAAGTCCCAAGCTCTGATCCATGGAAGCAGATTCTTATGCTTGTGTGGATCCAATCCGACCAACGCAGAATGAACCAAGGTACGCTACGTGTTAAAGTGTAAACACTAATATTCAGAAGCAGTTTTCTGGGGCCTGAGAATGACTGCAGAAGACCTGTTAGACAGGGAGGCTGTAGTCTGCCCAAAAATATAATAAACAAACATGTTTAAAATATATGTAGTATGATTTCAACAGTATGCCATTAAGGCACTGAAAAGCAGGTTTTAATAATGTAGTAGTGTAATTGTATAATTAATATTCTTTGTCTATACTATTGTATAAGAGTATATTGTATAATTAATATTCTTTGTCTATACTAT